GTCTAGAGTAGTTACACATGAATCTCTACTATTTGCTATTGAGATTGGTGCTGCACTTTAGAATATGAAAATTTTAGGTGTCCCTGGATCAAATCTATGTTATAAATAATAACAATGGTCCCTGTGGACCTTCAGTAATGAAATTCAAGCCCAGCAGGCAGTACCAATTACAAGTGCAGCAGAAACATGTTGGCTCCCAAAAGCGCACAGACACAGGCATACACAGACGCTAAGCTCTGGCCTGAGCCTTTTCAATATATTTTTGATTGCTGCTGCTGCTGTGAGTTAGATTTCTTATAATAATAAATAATAATAATAATAAAAATAATGATAAATAACAAATAATAATAAATTAATTAATAAAGTGCTAGGAAAGTAATGATGGTGATAGCAGGTTTAAGGCTTGGGCTGACAAAGAGCAGCCAGCCAGCACCATACTGACTAATTGCAATGGTGACAACCCCACGTTGTGTTGGTTGAAATCTGCTCCTACCTAAATGTCTGTAATTGTTTCCTCCCCCTTGCACCTGCACTACAGACACAGACAGTCTGGAGCTCTACCTTGCTTCTTCTCACCCCCACCCTTCCTCCACCTAAACAATAGGGGCCCAATTATGCAAACAATTATGCAGGTTGACTTAAACAGGACCACTCATATGCATAAAGTTACTCGTGTGCGTTTGCAGGATCAGGGCTTGACTTTTTAATAGGGGAAGTTTTCATTTGTTATTAATAAAGTGTTTCCTGACTGTAGAGCTTCTACAACAGGCCATACAAGAGGCTTTCACTGCAAGCAGCAAATTGATTCCAGCCCCAGCCAGCATCCAGAACTGAGTGAGAAATGATTGTGGAACAATAGGGCTGAGTCAAACAGGGCAGTCACCTGGGAGGTGCAAGACCTACACGCCAGGCTCTGCTTTATATGAGGTAGAAGCGGAATTTTGAACCTGGGTCTGCTACTTCCTGCTTGAGTGCTCTGACCACCAGGCTATCACAGGCTTCTCCTTGGGTTTTTGTGAAAGACAACTAACCTGGCTTGAGAGCTTATCTCCAATGGCTGTGAATCCTCAGTAGAGACAGATGCTTCCTTCCAGCCCCAAGTTAGACAGCCAAATCCTTTTAAGGGACAGGGCTGAGGCCTCACCCCTTGCCTCAGCATTTTGTGAATTCCTTTTTTAGATGTCTAACTCTCCCCATTCCTCATATAGGCAGCCTGGTAACCTAACTTGGGGCTGTGAATTCCAGTAGGCGGCAGGGCACCAAAAGATTAGTGAAATGATTAAAAATATTATAGCAGCCTCTAAAGCTTGTGGCAGCAGAGTTCTCAGCTCTGGATTCTATGACTTTTCATTTAAATTAATTTTGTCTTAGAAGCAAAATTAAAAAAGTAGCTTACTTTTAATACACATAATTTTATAGGTACTTTGGGCCAAATTCATCCTTGTAATTCAACTGACTTCCGCAGGGATAAATTTCACCAGGGAGAATTAGGTCCTCTACCATGAATTTGGACTGGCCCATTAAGCATTTTAACTAGGGGTCCACTTCATTGCTGCTGTAGTCTGAGCTCATTGCGCACCACAGGAGCTCCTTGAATCCTTCTATGCACCCCTTCTGTCACTAGCTCCCTTCCACACCTCTCTATTTCAGTGACTTCTTGCAACTCTCGCACCTTCCCACCCAGTGATGCCCCTCATTCCACCTCCCCCTATGTCAGAGTCCCATATGTTCTCCTCTCCTATGCCAGAGGTTCTGTGTGTCACCCATTTTCTCCTTTGTGTGAACCTATTTCCCCTCCCCCACAGTATGGTCCTCCATTCTCCCCTACATTTTAAACTCTATTAGAAGGATGGACAGAGATAGAGAGTATTAATGACTGCTATCGACCAGTTATTTGATCTAGAGACAGATTCAGATCTGGTTGAAGCTAATGTGTGTGCTAACCAGGTGCCAAGGGCTTTGCATGTCTTTCATTTCCTCTTTCCAGTTTTTCCATTTTCACCCAAATCCATAAGGTTGTGCCCATTGATGCCTAGAACACGCTGTGAAATTTTGAAATTGATAGGTTGCAGCATTCAAAAGTTACTGCATTACAAACAGATAAATGTCATCGAGTCGAGTGTAGGGCCATCCTTCACTCAGCCAAAAATGACTCACAGTTCTGATTTGCCTCTCACTTGCGTTGCTGTAAATCCAGAGTAGTTCCACTGAAGTCAACAGAGTTACACTGGTGGAACAGAATCAGACTATAACAGGCAAAACTCCCTTTGAATCAGGGTGGAGGACAGCAGAGGGACCCAGTGGATATATGTTAGATGTTTTGATACTTCCAACAATTTACACTGTGATTGAGTCAATTCTATTCTAGATTTCACACATTTAATTACCGATGCAGCCAATGTAACTCCACCTGAATAAATTACAGGTTTCAGAGTAGCAGCCATGTTAGTCTATATTCGCAAAAAGAACAGGAGTACTTGTGGCACCTTAGGGACGAATAAATTTCCCCATGTTAAGTATCCTCATACCTTCTTGTCAACTGTCTGAAATTGGCCATCTTGATTATCACTACAAAAGTTTTTTTTCTCCTGCTGATAATAGCTCATCTTAATTAATTAACCTCTTAGAGTTGGTATGGCAACTTCCATCTTTTCATGTTCTCTGTTTGTATATATATATATCTTCTTACTATATGTTCCATTCTATGCATCTGATGAAGTGGGCTGCAGCCTACAAAAGCTTATGCTCAAATAAATTTGTTAGTCTCTAAGGTGCAACAAGTACTCCTGTTCTATTTTGCTGAATAAATTAAGGTAGAATTGGGACATAATTAGTAGTATTACTTTTCTCTTACCTTATACTTGAGCATGTAGGAGCATTGCAGCAGCTCCTCTTCATTACACTGAGATGCACTGTGACCATTTGGTGTGTACTGACACAATAAGTGTGTGTTTATTTTTTATATATTTTATACAACATAAAATTCCACATTTTAAGAGTTGCATGATAATATTTCAACAATACTGCATAGTGACATGATGTATCATAATCACTCAGCAGGAGAGATTTCAATTTATTGTTGTGTCAGTGTAATATTCTTCAGGGTTTCAGACTGGTGCCTAGTTCAGTTTTTAAAATATCATATTTGCCTAGAGAATGTGCTAAGATGAGCCAAAGAATACATTAAAATATCCTTGAACTTAAAAAGCATAGATTGTAATGTGTCTGTAAACAAAGCAAACAGTAGATTGCTTAAACAACTAGGCTTTTTTGCCTTTAGGTCTTTGTGTTGCTTTTATAATATTATTATAAAAAATCAAAGGGAATGGAATACATTACAATCAACCTTCTGAAAAACAGATGCCTAAAGTCCTTATTTAGGTACTGAAATACATGGTCTGATTTTCAAAAGTACTGAGTACCCAGCAACTCTCATTGACTTACAAAATAAGGCCCCGATCTTGCAATAAGAAAACTACACATAGAACCACTGTATTCACAGAATGCTCCAATGCTCATCTGTCCACACAGCTCTTTCTGCAGCATCAGAGCCTTTGTAAAGGCAGGATTTGTCTCTTGCCTGGTCTTATTTTTAGGTATTATAGGTGTCTCAGGGGAATGCATGATTTCACACACCATACTGAAAGAGTTACAATTCCTAGCCATAATGTGTCAACTCAATGGCAGAATCATAATCTAAACCTTGAAGTTGGGAACTTTAGTCCAATATTTTCGAAAAGGGGCTCCTAAAGTTAGGCTCTAAAATCCATATTTGGGCATCTAAACAAGTGACCTGATTTTCAAAAGTCCTGAGCACTCAGCAGATTCCACTGAGACTTCTGTCCTAAGTAAATGCAGATAAATTGAAGACATGGGGCAAATACCACTTTCACGCTGTGGTTGCGTGTGTGAGAGAGCAAAATTTGTCCCATTATTTATGTTACTCTAAAATTTGAATATCCTTGGACCTTCAACTTGTATATCACTTTTGGATTGTACTGTATTTGATTGTAATCTCCTTGGGGCAAGGACAGTATCCTCTTCTATCGTCTGAACTGTGCTGAGCCCACCAGTGTTACTAAGGGCCAGATTCTGACACCCTTATTAAGGCTGGGTAGCATGTGAGGCCACACATTGTTCCACTGACCTTAATGGGACTGTTTGTGGCGTAAGAGTTTCAGAACTTGGCCCTAAATAAATAACAATAACAGTCTTGTTGTTAAAGGAGGGTACTAGAAGTCAGGAGATGTGAGTTTTATTTCTCACACTGTTTCCCACTTAAGGGTCAGAGTATATGCTGACAGCAGTCTAAATCCAGAGTCACTCCTTTGACTTTAAGATTTACATTGGTGTGCCCAAGAGCATAATTCTTGTGTTGCCTTGACCTGGTCACTTTGACCAAACCCATTAAGTACCTAAAGTTAGACACTTATAAGAAGTTGGCTCAGTTGTTGAGCACATAACACTGGTGTATCAGAGAGCAGAACTCAGCCCCAATGGTATTTGAAGGAACTGTTTTGTTTCCCCTTTTTATTTAATAGCAATGAGTCTACACTTCGTGTCTGTTTCATGCATGCGATGCCCCTGTCCTCTAACTCGGAGCCACAGAGGAGCAGTCCTAAAAACAGCCCCACACAGGGCCTGTGGCTGCACCCACGTTACATGGAATATGAGTCCCCAAGCCAATGGCAGCTAAGGGAAGGGTCCGCCCCCAGGCAGCAGCACAAGCAGCCCGGCCAGAGGAGCCCTGCCCGCCCTGCCCCACGCCGGCTGCAGCTCCGCCACCCGTGCCCCAGCCGAGCGGTCCCGTGCCCCGCCGCAGCGCCAGGCGCCTTGCAAAGGGCGGCAGAGTCGGGGTCCGTGGGCGGCTGGGTGCCGGTCCCTTTGCCCAGCCCGTGTTTGTGAAGCCAGCTCCGCGGCAGCCCGCCCCTGAGCGCCTCCCTTCCTGCTGCCCCGGGGGCGCTGCGCCGCGCGGTTGTTTGGCTGCTGCCGCAGCTTTGCTGCTTGGGCGGCCAGGGGGTGTAGTTGGCGCCGGGTGCCAGGCGCACGCCTCTGCCTGACACGCAGCGAGGGAGAGGCGGAGGAGCAGCTGGAAGGGCCGGTCGGGCGGCGGCTCCGCGGTGGTGCTGGGGATAATTAGTGTCTGTGAGTCTGTCTGCCTCCGGGGGGCAGGGCGGGGGAGGCAGTGCGTGCCTGGCTGGGTGTGTGCGAGCCGGTGACTCGTCCCGGCCCCTCCAGCGCAGCCTCCACCCAGCGGGCTGGGAGCCGCCCTGGCCGCGCTCCCCTCCCTGACCCTCCCCTTACCCCGCCGGCCAAGGGAGCCTGGCAGAGCGAGCGGCGCCGGCGTCATGTGACAGCGGAGACTAGTGCCAGGAGCCCGGGCGAGCCGAGCGAGCGAGCGCCCTCCCCTCGCCCAGAGACGCACGGCCACCGCGGAGCGCACAGCCTCAGCCGCAGGGAGCCGGGAGGCGGGCCGGGTGCTTTGCTCTGTTTCACAGCCCCCATCGCAGGGCTTCGGGCGGCGGCGGAGGCCCCCTGCTTGCTGAGGGTGAGCGCGGGGAGCGGAGTGGGGTTATTCCTCGCGTCTGACTGCAACGTGCCAAAGTTTCCAGCTGCTGGAAGAAGTCCGGGGGGAGGGGGATTCAGCGTTGGGGTGACCTGGGGGCATGCAAAGCTGCGAGCCCGCTGAGGCTCCGGAGGGAGCGGGCTGCTCTGGGGGCCAGGGCTGCGCCCGCGGACTGTCCCGGCGGCCTGATGCGCCCTAACTTCTGCGAAAGTTGTTCGGGGGAGAACGTATGTTTCTATCTCCAACTCCTGTGGTGCTTTATTATGCGTTTCTGCACAGGGCGGAAGGAGGGGTTACCAACTCCGATGATACTTTGTCTCTTTCTGGGAAGAGGGGACAGAAGGTCACGTGTGTGTGTGCAGGGGGGCGAGTAGGGTTGTTTTCTGCAGATGTTTCCATCCCCAGCTTCTGTGATTGCTGCAAAGGTTGCAAGAGAGGGTGGGACAAAATAGAGGGGTCTGCTCTGGTGTGTGTGCTTTCCTCTGTCTTACTGGCTTTTACAGAGATTGGGTAAGAAAAATCACACACCTGGTGTGGCCTTGGCTCGGCTCTCTGGTGCTGATCCCAAGGCGTGTATGTTTGCTCCATTGTCTCAATAGGAAAGGGAGTCCCTTTCTTTCCGGCTCTTGACTGGGGCAATATGAGAAGTTCTCTTGGGCTCCTACTACTCAGTAGCAGTTGTTTCACCCGCAGAGCATCTTTTGGCAGATGGGGGACTGCAGTACAATAGACAAGTCTACAATTTAAAATGTCAGCAGAGCTTGCTAATGCTATTAAAGTACGAAATTGAGTTGGACAGTGTAATGGGTTCATTCACTTCTGTTGGATTATAAACGTTTGTCTTCTGTTGGGAGTAAAAACAGTGAAGAGGTTTGGGGTTTTTTGTTTGGGTTTTTTAAATAGTACGCTATCACTAGTACATTATGGTTAGGGTCACAGCACTGTGGAATAGTTTAATGGCCAAATTTAACCCTGGTATAACTCGACTGATTGTGGTGGAGTTACACCAGGGATAAAATTAGTCCTCAAATGTTTTTTAAAAAAAATTAACATATCTAGTCTTATTTAACACTTTTCTAGGAAAGAGTTAAAATCTCTAATATTTATGATAGCTCTGACACTTAAAATATAAAGTAACTTTTATAGGGAATTGGGATTGACATCCATAATTGACTCCCTGCCTATATGAATGTTGTTTTTACTACACTTAAATGGGAATAGGAATATTTATCTTCAATCTTTGTCAGATGTAAGATTTCAAACAGAAGTGTTATAGCGGGTGGGAGAGTGAAGAGGAGGGGAAGGCAAGGGGATGGACTAGAGAAAGAAGTTCTTTAAGACCCCATGTTGAAATCCTACAAAAGTAGCACAAAATCAGTACTGTAATAACCAGTTTAGAATTGTTCAAGTTGTCATTCTTTTTAACTAAGAAATTCTTTGATGAAATCAATTTCTTTATCCATCCTGATTCAGTTTTACTGTACCTGCATTGTTTGCTTGTGCTCTGCCTCTATATAGTGGCCCTTTGAAAACTCAGGAAGTGTCACAATTCACAGGGCTCATCTTTGAATGAGGGACTTTGTGGTTTTGGTTTTATTGAAATTTATGTCCATAAATGTTCTTTAATCTGTATTGAAAACAAAGAATACAGTTGCTGCTCACGCATGTATTTTTTCCATAGAATAGTTTTAAGATGTGCTCTCTTGGTTGTTGTATAAGGAACTTCTTTTATGAGAGGAACCACATCTGGATTTGATAATCCTGTCTGACCCTGGGGACACTTACTTCAAACTAACTTTATCCCTTGTGCTTTAAAATGTATGATTTAGTTTGATAGCACTAATATTTTCAAATACAAGAGTCTGCAGCAGAGTTTAGTTGAGTGGCATACTTTCCTTTTATCCAAGCAGGTAAATATGTTTTACCTACAGTGGTTAATGTATAATAGTAGGTAAAGCCTGGAGTTGGGAGGTGGGTGGAGAAAGAAGATATAAAATGGTCCTTTCCTTTTATGAGGAAACTGAAATGTCGTCAGGATATAACAGTTATGAGAGTGCCCTTCAATATTAAGAAAATACACTACACCTACACAACAGTTATAGTATCAGTCAAAACCACAAGTGAGACAAGGTGGGTGAGAACCATATTACCCACCTTGCCTCTCTAATATCCTGGGACCAACATGACTACAGCACTACAAAACAAAAGTGTTCAGGTAAGTAAAGTTGTAAAAGTGAATTAAGTCAGTTGAAAGTGCTCAGATACTACAGTGATGAGGGGCTAAGCAAGTACCTAGATATTTTCTTCATACTTAACATTTGGAAAAGTAAGTATAAAAAGTAAGAAACTGGTAATATAACTATAGAATGTACAACCATACACTGTTGTGTAGATTCTTCTGTAACTAGTTGTAATCTCATGTACTTCTGAAACTGCAGTTACTAAAATGAAATGTACAGTGGTTGCTGTCATTACTAGGATGCTAATCCACATAACTTGCAGTAACACATTCCCATGTCTGATAATATCTGGTACAGCAGCTGTCCGACCCACCGTGCGGAACTAGTTCAAAGCATGTTGTAAAAGGAAGAATAGTGAAGTAGTTGTTTTGAATGAAACCAAGTATAAACTTATTCTGATACATTTCATGTAGATGAGGTATGCTTTCTCACCTGCATAGCTCATTCTCAGTATGTTTTCTTCTTTAAACAGCTTGATGGTTTTAGTGTGATGTGTATTAGTGATTTGTCAAAAATAAAAAAAAAATTGTGGTTAACTGGTTCTACAGTTAAAATCTCATTCTATAAGTGTAACCAAAGCCAAAGTACAGAAAAGTGAAAATTAGTGTGGTTTGTTATTAGTATGTGTTTTAGTAGAGTGAGTCTTTAATAACTCTTGAAATTTAAGTTCTGTCATCAGTGCACTAAGAAGAGCTCTGTGTACACTTGAAAGCTTGTCTATCTCACCAACAGAAGTTGGTCCAATAAAAGATAGTACCTCACACATTTTGTCTCTCTAATATCCTGGGACCAACAGATACAGCAACACTGCATGCATTAAATTATGTCAGTCTTCAGCTGTCAAACCATCCTGAATTTTTGCAGTGGGAAAATAGCTAATTTTTAAAATAGGCTGTACTTCAAAAATTAATTCTTGTAACGACTCGATCACTCAGTTTTTCTCTTTGAAGAAGATAATTTTAGGCTAAGAGTTAGCTGTATGGTGTTATATAAAATTCAGCCTGTAGTTAAATATTAGCAGTTTAGAGGCAAAAAGAAATCCAAGGGAAGGCTGAGGTTAATTATCATGACCTGTGGTGTCTAAAATCACATGTCTTCCTCCGTTAAGTGTAGATATTTGCTTGTTTGTAGGGCAGGTCTCCTGTATAAAGACAGTGTTTATATTCACACCCAATGAACAAACACCTCCACCCACTGTTGTTGTTTAAAAAACTCCAGCTGCTCATGAATATAGGGTCAGAGAGGGCCGTCTAAATGTTTCTCTGTGATTTCTCTCCAGCACAGCCAGCAGAGCTGTTTCCTGTTCTTTGTTTCAAGGCTGGGGTTTGCGTCATACATTCCAAGTGGCATATGTGTGCTCTTTCCTGTTGCAGGCTGTTTTTTTAGTAGACCAGTAGCCCGGTCCAGGCCCCTTGTCACTGCCCTGCAACTCCCAGTCCCCACCCAGTGAGTTATCATGTCTCTACACACTCGTGATTGCTTAAGATGCCTGTGTTATGTCAGCATGAGAAGTCTGAGTTAACCTTTTAACACACACCCTCTACTCCAGTATATTTACATGGGTGAATAATGAGTTTCATTCCCTTTTCTAAAAACCTATGTTTGACTCTCAAAAAATTGAGTCTGATTTCTCCTCTCACCTGTGCCAATGTAAGTCTGGAATAATTCCATTAAACTCAATGGAGTTGCAGTGGTATAATACCACTGCAAGTGAGAAGAGAATCCAGCCCTATATATTAATTTCTGTGAAAACCTATTGGCTTCTTTCCATATCTGTTCTGAAGATACCACCGTGATCATTTTCTGTTCCAGTTTTGATCAAGATTAGAATTGTACCATTTTCCTGAAGGGAGGAAATATCGTACTATTACCTGAATTCAAGGATCCATACTCTTCCAGATTTAATGCAGGAAAATGAGACACTAACAACTTTCTTTGGATTAAATGGGTATGGCAGTCCTATATTTTGCTAAACTCTGAGCACTTTTTGAAGGAGTAAAGTACATGGTTTTTTTTCTACTTTGATATCAGATTTTTTTTTCTTTTGTCTGCTGTGGACCGACAGAGAGAAACATCAAGAGGAAATTCAAAAAGAGGACATAAGAAATCTTTCTGTTACTCTCCATCTGACTGTAGAAGAACTAAGGACCTGAGCCAAAGCTCATTGAAATTGATAGAAAGATTCCCATTGACTTCAAAGGGCTTTGGATCAGGCCCTAAATGAATGAGAAATTACATGAAAATAGGAGATGGACTGTCTTTCTCTCTCACTTATGTTTGAAAAAATACACGTTTTCTTGCACGCACACAGAAATGTTTCCATCTTTAAATATGTCCTTTTTATTTAATTTGTTTTTCAAATTTTTCTTCTGCTGCTGCTGGCTTTTAGATGTTAAACTTTAAAAGGGGGGAAGTTTATATTGAACACACTTGCAATATTTTTTTCAAAAAGCATAATAGGCCTTAGAGACACTTGCAGTGAACACGGATAACTAAATTTTAACTATATCTAAATTATAAGTAGCAACACGCTGAAATGCACATATACTATATATGGATACTTACATTATTTTGCTTTTTGTCTCTTCAGAAATACAAATTGTAAGAAAAGTATTTCAGGTGAACACATAAGCTAATAATTTTGGTAAGTTGTATTTTTAATTTTATTTCCTCTATTTCAGGGATTTTTACTTTTGTTCTTTTACTGCTATTAGAAAATTATGTACAGTATGTTGTCATTGCACAGTGAATAAATATTGTAATTTAGCTGCTACAGGATTTGAGCCTCTGTCATATTTCATCTTTTCTCCCTGGATCAGCAAAAGGTGTTGAACTAGTAGTTTAGTACTGGGAACCAGTGTGTAAGTATAGTAAATTTTGCTAGTCACAACTTTCTGTAGTCAAGTTTCTATAAAATCTGAAACTGAGCTTCATATTACAACAAAATTCTGCATTTTGTAGAACAAGTTTTTTAAATTAACTGACATAGCTAGCAGGAGGTCCTTTCAAAAATAAAACTCTTCTATGCAGCCAGTATTGAAGCTTTGTGTTTTCATTCCAAGGCTAGTTGCTTCCAATCCACAACGTGAAGTTTGGCAGAGCTAGTTTAGGAACAGATTTAACCCTTCACTTTTAACGTTTTATCTAATGCCAAGGTTTCCTTTTAGGGATTTAATAGCCATTGTTGATCTGTCCCAAGGGAAACTAGTATAAGTGTGTGTTAGCTAAATAGAAAGATAAAGCTCTAACAGATTTAAAATACTAAAGTAAGCCATCACGGAAAGAGATGGGGGGGGGGGGTGGAGAGGTTGCTAACAAACTTTGGTACACGAAAGACTGACAAAACCTCCACACTTAGAGTCCAAGTTTATTTAGGTTTCAGAGTAGCAGCCGTGTTAGTCTGTATTCGCAAAAAGAAAAGGAGTACTTGTGGCACCTTAGAGATTAACACATGCGTCCGATGAAGTGAGCTGTAGCTCACGAAAGCTTATGCTCAAATAAATTTGTTAGTCTCTAAGGTGCCACAAGTACTCCTTTTCTTTTTGCAAGTTTATTTAATCATTCTTCCATTGCCACCATCCACTTTCTCTCTCTTCATTTCCCTAGATACACACACACACACGCTCATGGACATTTCTTTCCTATTTTCAAATCTTCATTGAAATTAAGAGTATAAACTATTATTTGTTAATGTACTTTTCATCACTTAATAGTTAGAGATTTTTAGCTCTGCCCCATGTGGTCAAAGGTGTAAAAATCTGTCTGGAATATGTTTGAGAAAGTAACAGAGCAGACTTGTACCTTAATATTAGAGGATGATATTTTGTATCCTGATGTTGACTTTATTTTTTTTTTTAGACACTCAGCCTGATTTTCAGGTCCTGATTTCTATGCATGTAAAATAAGCTTTGAGGTCTGTCACGCTCTTTCTGTCTCTCTCTTTCCCAGCCAGTCTTCCCGAATAGAACAAAGGCTACTTTTAGTCTTCCTTTCAAATTCTCTTTAAAATTAACTTTTTATTTTTATTTTTTAAAAAAGGTTCAGTTTGGAAGGGAAAGATTGTCATACCATTCTGCATACTTCACTTGTTTTCAGAGGCCTGATCTGTTCTCTTTACTAAACTATTTCTCCTTGTAAGCAGTAGCTTGAGACAGGAAACCAGACAGCAGTCTGCCCTGATAAGGGAGAGTATTGTATGCAGTATTGTCTAAGGTGGTGGCTAAAGATCTTTTCTGCATCTTTCTTCTTTAGGGCCAATAGATATAAAATAGGAATTGCATAAGGTTGTATGGATGCAAAGTTTGTTTTCCTCAGTGGAAACTTCAAACTCAAAAAACAAATACCTTTTATGAATACCCTTAGAAACTGTTTTCTAAGATTTTTTTTTAATATGGGGAAAATGTGTTTTTCACCCATACTGCTGTGGAGTGTGCATAACAGCATAGCTGTATATTTCAGTGAAATACGGACTAGTCTGCTACATGTGGAGTGACCAGATGTCCCAATTTTATAGGGACAGTCCTGATTTTTGGGTCTTTTTCTTAAATCGGCTCCTATTACCCTCCACCTCCTGTCCCGATTTTTCACACTTGCTGTCTGGTCACCCTAGCTACATAGCTTCTGACAAATTAATATGTTAAAGTAGTTCTAGATCAAACAAAGTGATTTCTAATAATGAGAAGGTTGTGTTGTGCATTTTCTGTATCTCAGTACTGTACTAGCATGTTTCAGGAGTTATTCCAATTCCCATTAGAAATCCACTGGGTTTTTTATTTTTTTTTAAAAAAACGCTACCCATTAGCAGAAATTCTCTTGTTGCACAGCCAATTCCTTATAACTTTCCCCAGCATGGCTCTTTGTGGGCCAAACTCCTTTAATCCTTTCCCCAGCAGTGCTGTCTCTGGATCTCAGTCTCCACTTAAAAGTTTGGTTGACATAGCTACATAAGTCAGGGATGTGAAAAAACCACACCCATGACCGACATAGGTATGCTGACTTAAACCCCATTGTAGACACAGCTGTGTTGATGGAAGAATGCTTCCATTGATGTAGCCACCATCGTTGGGGGTGGGGATGATGTTCCCACACTGGCTGAAAAACCCCTTCCATCCGTGTAGGCTGTATCTATGCTACGGGTTTACACAGGCATAGCTATGGACATGTAGCTACGCCAGTATAGCCTCTGTAGTGCAGACACACCCTGGATTTTCACTCTTCTCACTCTTATTCTCTCTGACTGAGTCTAATGGCTAATCTAAATTTGAGATTTTCTGTGGCTGGTGCTATTTTGGAGCTTGATGAGGGAAAGCATTTAAAGCACATGCTTACTTCCCATGGATGTCCGAGTACGTTCTTGTGTATTTTGCTGATCCAAGGCCTTGAGGAGCAACTACTACTACTATGAGTACAAAGAAATCTTGGTGCCAGCTGTGGAGGGGATTTCCTTTACCCCTTCCAAGAAATCCTGTAAGTTCAACAGAGGAGAACCAGTTTCTGCTATCTTTTAAGGCTCCATTGAAGATTATTTCTCATTCGGTCTCAGAAAGCTTCCCTGGCCTTTGGATATCATCAGTATAGTTCTTTCAATATTATCACTTCTCCTTAATATTGGAGGGGAAGTTTAGCGTGAGATTCATGAAAGAAGAGAGAGTTTCAGATCATGAGAATTGGTTCTAAAGAGCCATGACTGCAAAACCGTGGGCACTTGATTCAAGTTGCCTTGTAGATACATTACTGCAAAAGCTGCAGTGGTGGGCACTAATGCAGTGTTGATTTCGTGGCAATCATTAAGTTACTTTGTAATTATACCAATAATACTTAGCAGTTTCTAAACAATTATTGATCCTCACACAGCAATAGGATGGCATCTACTGTTGCCCCCTGACACAAAAACTGAAAAAACAAGCTTTGTGCGGGGTACTGTGCAGAGGATGGGAGGGGCAGAATCTGTTCTCACCACCCCTAGCCATTGTGCGGATCAGATCATTGATCACCACTATTCCAGATATTTAACTAGAACATGGGCCAAAGCCCTTGTGCATCTCTCTTGGGGGTTTGTAACTGCTGGATCTGTGTGGCTAAGACCAGCCCCCAACCCAAAACCACCTCCCCTCACAGAAAGCTATATGGTGCTTGTGGACCAGTGTGTGGGTATGCAGAGCCCCTCTGTGTTTTGTGGCTGCCCTCCACCTCCACTTGTGTTCAAGTGGTATAATGCTGTGGCTGCTATGCCCATGGGCGAATCTCATCCAGAGTAAATCCTTATTGCAAATCCTTATTGCTGGAACACATGTTAAGTACTCTTATTCGCATTAAACCATACATGTCAAGAAGTTAAAACGGAGAAGTCTCTGATGTTGACAAGAAAATTAACTATTTTGATCATAAAAATTTCTTTCAGAAGAGATGGAGCACTGAATATTGGATAGGATTTAAACATAGTGTTTTCCTTTAGCAAAGGGCAGGGGGTTGTCTTTTTCTTACCTGCTGTCTTTTCGCTTGGCTTTAGCTGTGAAATTGTTGAGGGACTTTGCTTGGACTTTATCTTTGCACCTGTCCTTATTTACATACAAAAATGAATTGCTTGGCTTGTCTTTTAGAAATACAGGGTGTGAGCAGAATCTTATCAAAAGCCATGTCCTGTTTGGACAAGTTGGACTGCCTTGGCAAAGATCCATAGGGTGGAGTGAATGGGAGGAGGCAGGAAAGTAAAACTGGGTGGCTTGTTAGCAAAGAGAGAGAGAGAGGGTGGAATGTTTGCCTACTGCATTGCAGTTAATTATTTAGTTTCAGATTGCATACAGCATAAATTCTTTTACCCACATAAAAGCACTTCAATGCAAAATAGCTCATCTAATTTGAGAAAGATAAAGACTACTCTTCTGATTTTTATTTATTTATTTATTTTTAATATGGTTTGTGTGAATTTTATGCTTTCTCCTTGCTTTGCTGTCTGGAGGGTGCCGCAGGTACTTGAGAGGATACTTTAGTTTTCTATAAATTATTCTTATTTACTAAACAAGCTGTGGGCTGTGAAACAAGTATGTTATGAAATCAGTGTGTAGGCAGATCCCTACTATTCTTCACACCTTATGTTTGAAACAAATAAGGCAGTCTCCCACTGCTTCTCAAACATTTAATAGCAGGGGAGTATAGTGAGATCTCATATACCTACATATGTATGATTTTTACAAGTATACTACAAAAACTTTACTATAAAATATTATCATAAATAACAAAATCCAATTTTTTTGTTTACTTGAAATAAATTCAGGCTTCGCAACCAGTGTGTCTTTCTTCCATTCAAGCATTGTTCTTTTAAATACAAAGACCATTGTTCCATGCGTTTATTTTCACCCTTAGAGTTTATCCCAGAATGACAATTTCATAAGTGTCAGACCTTCAGCTGGAGTAAACTGATTCCAGTGGAGCTACACCATATTACACCAGCTGAAAATACAGACATATAACGCAGCCTTGCAGGACCAAAAGATCATGCATAATGTATTGCTCTCTGTCCAAAATCAGCCTCTCTTACTATTTAGGTAGAAATAGTACAGTAAAAGAACAGTATAACACATTAAAGGGACACTCAACTTATATACTATGATACAGCAATAAAAGTAAAAATTTTAACTACTACTTTAGATGACTATGAAAGACAAAGAATTTTTTACTTTTACTCTCTGCAAGACACTTTCTATTGTCACTTTCATTGTAACCTTTGTACAGTCAGTTAGCCCCTAATTCTGCAAATACATACATGTATGTAACTTTTACATATGTAAATTTAGGCGTATGCTAAGTGTTTACAGGATATGGGTCTTAGTCACTTTCTGTGATTTTCTGTGTGGGTCTCTCATATAGCAGCAGTAGAGAAAAAAACAAACCTTAAAAATAGAAAAATGTGATTTTTCAAAACTACAAAAAATGGCAGAGGGAACAGGTTGGGGGGCAAGGGAAGGTGTATTTATCTGAGACTACTAAGCTTTTTTTCCCCTTCAAGTGACTAGATTACAAGTTGATGGTGTCACTTCACCAAAACACATTTAAATTAAAAAATGGAAACCTGAAAGTCAATATTTACTAATTCTCTTACATATAAAGACTGGAATGCAGTGTAGGCTTCGGTTGTTTTTGCATTGTGGGATATCCTTTATCCATTCATGTATTGTTAAATGCATATATCTGTGTCTTTGGGAAGTCATGTATAGACAATGTTTCTTCACATGAAAGTGACTAGGAAAATGTAAATTGTCAGAAAATTATATGAAATGCTTAAAATCAGAAAAATATCTAATTTAAGTAATTCCCTGAAGTTGCAGGAAACATTGCATAATTGTTTTTTCAACTTTCTCACAGGCATTATTGACAAATGTACATAGACACATCCAAATTATAAAATTTCCTATCTTTCAAAGCTATTACTTCTAATTTAGACACAATTGGCAGTTTCTTTGAACTACTGTATCTGTTTCTCTTTTTCTCAACTTGGTTTAATCAGGCCCTTCCCATTTATCAGGATGATTATATTCATGTTTATTTTCAGTGATGCTTTAGTTTGTTCTTTAGAAATCAAGCTTTGTTCATTTCAAGTACTTAGAAAGTATACTGTTGTAGTATTTTCCATAAATTGCTAAGCTTTGCCCTTGATTTATAAAATAAATCCCTGGTAGGCTTGAAACAATTCATTCTCTTTCTTTCTCTCACGTATCTCAGATTGTTTTCTCCAATGCGTACACGCTGACTATTGCATGATTGCTCATTAATGTAGAACTGTTGGAATTGGTCTAATTTGGGGCATATATATTCTTGTGTCCCATTTAAACTGTTTGATTCATAAGAAAAAAATTCCAGACACAATTAAACCTTTTAATATATTAGTAAGCTTATACCCAGTGGAATTGTCTTGATGGAGGAGAGTAGCATTTTATTTGTTACAGATTTCTAGTGCCACCTACTGGATGCAGTTGAATTTGTTTAGTACTTAACATCAGTCTTTATATATACGGTGCAGAGACAAGGTGAGTGAGGTAATATCTTTTATTGGACCACCTTCTGTTGGTGAGAGGGACACTTTTGAGCTTACACAGAGCTCTTGAAGAGCTTGAAAGCTTGTCTCTCTCACCAACAGAAGTTGGTCCAATAAAAGATATTACCTCACCCACCTTGCCTCTCTTTTTTTTTTATTGTGGGACCAATACAGCTACAACACTGCATATACTATTATCACTACAAAAGGGTTGTTTTTTTTGTTTATTTGTTTGTTTCTCTCCTGCTGGTAATAGCTCAGCTTACTTGATCACTCTTGTTACAGTGTGTATGGTAACACCCATTGTTTCATGTTCTCTGTGTATATAAAATCGCCCCACTGTATTTTCCACTGCATGTATCCGATGAAGTGAGCTGTAGCTCACTAAAGCTTATGCTCAGATAAATTTGTTAGTTTCTAAGGTGCCACAAGTACTCCTTTTCTTTTTGCGGATACAGACTAACACGGCTGCTACTCTGAAAACTGCATATACTGTACAGGACATACAACTTCACCATCCCAGACCAATTGTATCCCATACTCTCCTTGTTAACTGGAATACTCTGTCAGTCCTCCAGGCTGTACTCTGGAAGTTGCTCTGCCTTCTCATATAGGATATGTGCATTCTCAAAAATGATATTAAATGTTTTTCATAAAAACTTGTCAACTGGAACTTTTTAATATCTTTGAGTATTAACTTCCTTCACGTGTCTAAAATATTTGGCTTTACCGTGTATCCTCTCTAGTATTTCTCTGTCTCGCTCCAAAGGCTCCTGGTCCTCCCTGAAATCTTCCCATCCTTCCTCCACAATTGTCATCCTTGGTAAATGTGTAAATATGGTTATTACCTGCGATAGTTAAGTTACTATAAATGAGATAGACTTGAAAATAGGCTTGAACAAGCTAACAAAGTAGATGGCTCCCTTTTTAAAGCAATCTGGGATACACAGAACACAATCTAAATTCTGAAATCTTGTTTTTAATAAGGAAACTTTTGGAAATGTACAGTTGTTTCAAAATAGTGGTTGAGTTGTCATAGTTCCTTTTGGTGAAATAGTCGAATTATCAGTTGTGATGTCTGATTGGGAGTCTGTCTATTGTACCTCTCCAAATTAGCTTTGTTTTTAATTTCTTCCTTGTGTGGAAGTAGGTGTCAAAGCACCAGAGTGTTACCAATATTGTCATCAGGCTTACTGACTGGAGACTAGCAAGTATTGGGCTGCCATCCTTCCTGAATCCGATTCAGATCCGTTCGTGTTCACTGTCTCTTCGGCTAAACAAAAAATTAATCTAGGTTTGCCAGGTGTCCGGTTTTTGACTGGAACGCCCCAGTTGAAAAGGGACCCTGGCGGCTCCAGTTGGCACTGCCGACCGGGCTGTTAAAAGTCCAGTTGGCAGTGCAACAGGGGCCCATGGCTAAGGTAGGCTCCCTGCCTGCCCTAGCTCGGCGTGGCTCCAAGAAGTGGTCACCAGGTTCCTGCAGCCCTTAGACACATGGGTGGCCATGGAGGTTTCACGCACTGCCCCTGCCCTGTGGGGCGGCTCCGCAGCTCCAATTGGCTGGGAACCGCGACTAATGGGAGCTGCTGGGGAAGTCTCTGTGGGTGTAAGGGCAGTGCACAGAGCCTCCCTGGCCACCCATGTGACTAGGGGCTCTAGGGACCCGGTGGCTGCTTCCCGGGAGCTGTGGTAAGCATCACTGGGACCCCATACCCCCCCCTGCACCCCAACCCCCTGCTCCAGCCTAGAGTCCCCTCCCAGAGCCCACACCACCTTCAACACCTGAACCCCCCTGCCCCATCCTCGAGCCCCCTCATCTCTAGCCCCACCCCAGAGCCTGCACCCCCAGCCGTAGTCCTGCACCCCCAGCCGTAGTCCTCAGCCCAACCCCTGTTTGATACTTTTTGATCGATCATCCACTGGACTATGTCTAAATATATTCTGATCACAGGGTTTTACTGAAATTACAAAGTAACTTTTATATGCTACCACAAAACAGTTTTATTGTAATAGAATATTTGAAAACATAAAGCTTATCTCTAGATTTGGAAGAACTAAATCAAATACATCTAATCTTATGGACTAATGAGTTAAAAAAAATTTCAGAAACTTGATTCTAGCCATTCCTACAATTTAACTTGGTGGGTTTTTTTCCCCTCCCTGTAACGCAGGACTACACAGACATCAGAAGATTTCACTGAAAAGATGTTAATGTTTGACCCAGTCCCTATCAAGCAAGAAGCCATGGAACCTATTTCAGTGGTAAGTCTTCAAACATGTTATCACCCTGATTGCCATGTAGGGATTGCTTCTGCTGCCAATGAAATCAGTAGCAAAACTCCTGTGAACTTCACAGAGCCATGGCCTCCTCGGAGAACTGCTGTGAAATGGAATACCTGAGTAACAGCAATAGCTAAATTTGCACATTAGTAGCATTATTTTCTCTTTCTGGAGACAGTGCCATTAGTGTTGCTTACATTGGTCAGGATGCCAATGCCATGTTTACTTTTCATGGCGATATTTGAGACTTATCATGAGAGCTATGCAGAGGGAGGGAGGGGAAAAGAATAAACACCTTGCAGGGACATCTGGGCCCTAGGCAAGGAACTAAGGTTCGGCTAGGCTGTTTTGGGTGAGTCTGGTGCCATAGGCCTCTGCTTCCGTGTACTTGGAAAATAGTTGCAAAGGGAAAAATTTGGACTGTGTATTTTATGTGAAAGCTGGTAATGAGAAGCTTATAAAATTAGATCATCTCTGTTTTGGCTGTTGCTGTTCCTGCCAACAGTGGTTATACAAGACTTAAGGGTCAGTTTGAGGCCCTAGAAACAAAGTTGTCATGGATATTGTTGTTTGTAATATTTGGTAGAAAGCCTTTGAAAAGCAGCTTTCAGCGAAAAGTTTGCTGCCTTTACCAATTAAAAAATGTAAAAGGGACACTATCAATTTAAATCCAATTTTAAATACATTTATTTATGTTGGTTCCTAAAATACCTTTAGATTATTTAAACTACTTGAATTTTAGAAACACAATTTACTTTTTTGCTGTGTTGTTTACATTGCAGTCTTCTGAGCAGAGGCAGGGAAATGCCTGTTCGAACAGTGAGGAATAGGGAGTTAGTCAACAGACAAATACTATGGGCTGGTCTACACTACACAGTTAGGTCAAGGAAGCTTATGTTTCCCTAATTATGTCCATGTCAACACTACAGCCTTCCTCCCGCCGATGCAAGTACCCTACTACACCAACATAATAACTTCACCTCCACAAGAGATGTAAGGCTTATGTTGGTGTCATTAGGGCAACGCAGTGTCTATGTAGACACTGCGTTCCTGCCAGGCAGATAGAGCCCATCTGCCACCCGCTTCTGGGTTGGGGTGGAGAATGGACCCCACTCCTGGCTGGGAGCCAGGGGGAGAAGCCCTGGTGGCGTGAGCCTGAAATTGACATGGCTGCCTGGCTCCCGGTGTGGGGATGGTGGTGGGGGAAGAGGGGAGACTGGGTTCTCAGCTCCCCAAACTGCCTTTCTTAGGTTGGTGGAAGCACTCCTGGTGAGGGCGCGTACCACTGACCCAATGAGGGTGGTGTGGACATGCACCACCACAGTGGCTGTAAGTCAATCTAATAGGTCCACATACATTTCTAGTGTAGACATACCCTTTGAGTGTTTCTTTAGTTAAGTAATCCAGCCCAAGAGTGGGATGTTGCTCTTCCATGTGCCATTTGAAGATAAATTGTACTTTCCCTGTGCTGGGACTTCAAACTGTCCTGCAGATTACTTTCTGCCACCATTCTGGCCACCCATCATAGAGCTATTTTATTAAATATGCATGTTGTCCTTTTACTTACTGCATTAAATGAGTGTAGCTAGGAAAAGGAAATAATGTTGGGCCTGATTGTAGGTTCTCTCATAAGAAGGTACAAAGGAGGAATGAAAATTCAGTGAAGTTCCCCTCTCAGAGATTCCTCAGTTCCTCCTCAGGAGAGTAGAAATTTTTGAGTCTACCTCTATGGGCAAACTGGCAATTTAGTCCCCCAAACCCTTGAGAGCCTGGTCTTCCCAGCTGTCCCTGGTAGTGCAGCTCCCGTGGAGCTAGGCCATCAGGAACTACTTAGGCCTGGCCTACACTTAAAATATAGGTCAACATAGCTGCAGTGCTTGGGGATGTTAAAAATCCATATCCCTGAGTACCATCACTATGCTAACCTAGCCTCCAGAGTCGACATAGCTAGGTTGATGGAATAATGCAACAATTGCTCAGTGACGGAAAAACCCTTTCCATCTCTGTAGTCTGCATCTACACTGCAGGGTTACAGCAGCATAGCTACAGTTCCATAACTATGCTGAAGTGTAGACATGGCCTTAACAGACAGCTGGCTTGTAGCCCCCTTTAAAGAGCGTGGGGATCTCAATGTGAAGAGAGCATGGCAAGAAAAGTAGCATAGTGGCTAAGGGACTGTCTATCCTCCAGCTGTGTTGCTGTAGCATAGATGCTTCCTACATCAACAGAAGAGGGTTTTCCATCTATGTAGTTCATCCACCTCTCCAAGAGACAGTAGCTAGATTGATGGAAGAATTCTTTCATTGACCTAGCTATATCTACAACAGGGGTTAGGTCAAGTTTAACTACTGCACTCAGGGCCTAGCCCTGTAGCTAGGTTGATCTAATTTTTAAGTGTAGACCAGGCCTAAGCAAGCTAACTTTCTTAACCATCTCCCATGGGATTGGTAGCGGAAGAGCTATTGTCCATATTCTCAGAGGAGATGAGCATTCCATTAACTTCACTGGGAGCCAATAGTGCTCAGAGCCTTTAAAATCAGGCCTTATATGTGTTGTATCTGCTGCTTTGATAGCATTGTAAGAAATCAAACAAAATGAAACTATTAAAAATCATCAGTTATTTTAATAGCAAAACCAGATTAAAATATGTCAGAATGCACCATGTATTGTATATGCAAAATTATGTCAAAAACACCGCTAGCTTATGACATTATGACAAGTTTGGGGTGGGGGAAGGAAACAAATTACAAAGTTTTAACACCAAAGCTTGTTTCAAGGTATGTGGTTTAAAGAATTAGCTACACTTCTCAGATGGTTAAAGCACGCACCCAAAGTATTTTGTCATCCTACTATTGGCCCATACGCTCAGTGGCATTGAATTATTGTGCACATTTTATTATATGAAGAAAACATTTAAATGATGGTATATAATAGATCTAGTTACAGTGTTATCTCAGTTCCACCTAAAATAAAGTGAATATTTGTTACAAGCATTTGTTAAATGCTTGGGCAAAGACAGTGACAATTTACTTGCCAAGTTGCTTTTTTTTCTGCGGTGCCTACTTTCTTCTGGAATTGAAGTGAACAACCTTTGTGTCCCAAAGCAGTCTCCAAAACTATTTGGTTTGCAACTTTTTAAGATAAAGTGCCCTAGCTGCATGATACCTTGAGGTATTTTGTAATTAGTGCACTTGTAAATAAATCTCATCTTGTAAGCATGAATAATAAAAATGTTTTGGGGGAAATTATATAGTATTTCAGGTTAAATCCTGGTCACCCTTCTCATGTGACTTCAACTGGACAACTAAGCCTGTCAAGTAGTCGAGTTGTTTCACCACAAACTTTTTTTATGAAATGTAGCAATTAATATTTAATCTTCTGTGGTGATATAGTATCCTGTAGTATTTCAGCAATCTACAATTGACTCTAAATTTGAGTTAATTATATTCTGAGGTATTTTGCGTTATTCTCTTACTTGTAAAATGTTCCTTGCATATTGGCAGGAGATCCTCTATTTTTAGCATTACAAAACAGAAAACATTTTTATATTGTCACTGTAAAGTTAAGGGGTGTGTGTTTGATGGGTATGCAGTATTGTTGTAGCCGTGTCAGTCCAAGGACATTAGAGAGACAAGGTGGGTGAGGTAATATATTTTGTTGGACCAACTTCTGTTGGTGAAAGAGACAGGATTTCAGCCACACAGAGCTCTTCTTCAGGTCTAAGAAAGGTACTCCTAGTATCACAGCTAAATGCAAGGTGGAACGCATTTTTTAGCATAAATAGTTAGCAGATAGTGTAAGGGACCAATCAGGGTATAGTGGCCCATTACCACCCCTGCAGTCACAGGACAATGGTGGGATTCTTTAACAACCCTCAGTTCAGTACAGATCTTAACCCCATGCTTAACTCTGAGCATGTGAGTAGTGCTATTGGCTTCAGTGGAAGGCTCACCACGTTATTAAGTTGTTTGCTGATTTGGAGCCATCTTTAGGTACATCTTTCACACAAACCATCACTGTTAACTGAGTTCCTACGTAGAAGAACGGGATCTACCAGTAGGAAAAGATCTCTTATGGGAGACCTTTCTTCACCCCCTGAAACTGCAGGCTTCAGGGACACTGGCTGCTGTGACTGGAGGTTCTGGAAGGCCAGGTAGTCACTCCTAGTGGGGAGCAAGATCACAGACCACTTCTCTTGATTACTGTTGGGAGTTCTTGTAGTAAGAGATTCTTCTTTACTGCTCAGATATGCTATTTGAGTCTGTTTGATTAACAGAATACTCTTACTTTACATTGATCTGTAATGTCATAGCCTGCCCTTTTGTTTCAGTTTTTTATGTGCTTAATATAATGTAGAAAATGGTCAACTACGTTTTGGATGATTTTTATATGTATAATCTGAACTGAGAAGTTTGTTAAACTTTTTTCTGTTTTCTTTATACCTGCATTGACTTCTAAGGTTTTCTATACCTAGCATTTCTTCTTTTACTTTTTAAGATTACAAAACTAAGTAGGAAAAAATTCTGTAAGGAAAAACATTGTCTCCTACTTTTTTTTATCACTAACGTTTTCTGCAGTTCAAATAGGAACATGGCAAGTAAAATCTCAGAGTGAAGGAAAGCTTAGAAAAATGAGACAACCTCTCCAGTCTGGCACAAAAGAATAGCTGACTTAAGTCAAATCTGTGCCAGTTTAGTTACAACAATGAAAACCTTTCATTCAAAGCAATTCAAGAGCAGGTTTGAATCCCCAACAAATCAAGTGTTTTAAAAATATAATTGTCATCATGATAATTTTTGAAGTCTTTATTACTTTGAATTTAAGCTCTAACTTTTCCAAACTAATACTAAGAAGTTCCCCAAACAGCTCAGAATCACTGCAGTATTTTTCTGCACTACTGTTTTAATAGATTGGCATTTTTCCAATGTGTTTCATTTGACCTGGAGTCTTGAAAGAAAGAAAAATGTTTTAATGAACTAGGTTATAGCCCAAAGGTGTTTCATACTTCTGCAGATTCCTACTTTACTGAAAAAATTCTCTCCTCTAAACTAAGATTTGAATTGGATAGTCTTTCTTCATTTTGCCTTTCCAGTACTCTGTTACAATCCTCCTAGGCCTTCTCAATACAGCATGGTTTTAAAAACAGAAAGACTTGTTAGGCCCCAGTTCTGCAGAAACTTTTGCAGACTGTGACACAATGGGCCTACTCTTGTGTATGAAGGCAGTCACATACACAAATGTCTGTAGGTTCAAGACCTTATATTGGCTGAATATAAGATTACTTTACTTGAATGAAAAATATTCTAGGAATTCTACTATTGTTCACTGATGTTGGAACGCAGTTCAAAAAATTAATGTACACATAGTGATGTTGTGATAATTCTTCCAGGGTTCCACTGATGTCTAGCTGTACCACTAAATGTTTCTACAGCATAGTGAAGTCAAGTGGACTTTGTACTGTAGGCCAATAACATAAGTTTTAACACAAGCACTTAATACAGCTTACATATTAAGTGTTTGAATTTCTATCTACATCCACGCCTTAATCAGATTCAGCAGATGCTAAATACTGTTAAATATTAAACTCCATCAGTAGTCTGTGGCCTTGATCACTCAGAATTCTAATAAATATAATTATTTCCTTATCTAACAGTGCTCTGTGAGTTCTGTATATATCTTGCTCTGAGATGCACACATGCTAAAATAGTTAAGATTTAAAACATTAATTCCTGTGAACTTTATTATCAAAAACAGATACTAATATGTTAGCTAAATTATTAATTTACTATAGGTATAAGCATAAGTTCTATTTTATATGAAAAAAATCCTTTAAGATCAATTGAATATAATTGCTACAAAGATTCTTACATTTAATCCATTATATAATTTTAAGTAAGTTCTAGAAATGAAAAATGTTGTTATCAACCACATAGGTGGCAGTTCTCTTCTAATTTCCCTATGTGTATGTAACTTTTTAAAAAAAGTTAATGCTAGTTATGTGTATGCATAGAGTACAGAATAAGCTACTCAGCTTTGTTGCTGTATCTACCTACAATCTTAGGAGTGCTGCAGAAGAACTTCCCATTTTCTAAAGTGTCATAGAATTGTTTCTTGCAATAATCAAAACAAAGGCAATAACTCCAAAACATTTTACAGTAATGTTTTTGGCTAAGCTTCAAATGAATAACAGTTAAAATATACCTGGGAGGAGGAGGAGAATACAGATGTAAGAGCAAGGCAAGACCTAGCTAGAATTTTTAGCCCTAACAAAATGCATTTAAAAATACTGTGGGAGTGATTGTATACTGGAGTCCATTAGCTTTATGCTCATAAATTATCTCTATCCTTACCATTTTTAAAAATTTACCGCACACACCCTTTCTGGTCCAATGTGCTTCCAAAAATCTAAACTGTGTTTTATTCCTGTCAGGAAACAGCATAGCTACAGAGTGAGGATTGACTTATCCAAGAACCACAAGTGGAAATTCAGTTAATAAAACTGCTGATATCAAAAATTAGTAGAATGGATAGTCTACACTTTGTATAGTTCATATTTTGGCACATCTCATCAGTTCATATAACTAGTTATCTTCATTAAAAATAACATTGTTTTAAACACTTTTAATACGAGAAACTGTTCAGTAGAGTATCTCAGTGGTGATACATATTATGCAATGCTATGGTGATTCTCAGTGTTTTACTGGAAAATGTTATTGCTTAGGTATGAAAGGGTCAGTTATGGGCCTAATCTTGAATGGGCATAAGCATCATCAACTTGCTTTCCTTGACTTACAGGAAATTCTGACTCCGCACCTCAGATAATCAGACTTGGCCCCCCCTTCCGGATAGCTGTTTTCCAAGTTTAAAACAGCTAAGTTAGCTGCATTCTCCCCAACCCCCTTCCAAAAAAAACCACTGAAAAAATGGTTTAGAATGTACTCATTTCCCAATTTGCTTTTTCATATTTACTGTCTGTGATACTGTTTGCAGAGCTCAGTTGCATACGTTTTGGTTTGGGAGGGGGGGTTTGTGTTTAGATTTCTGTTTTAATGAAGATTGAGGCACAGTGTTTTCCAGTTATTAGAACAGTCGGGGGATTTAGGATGCCTGGGTTCTATTTCCAGCTTCACCACTGTCTTGCTTAGTCTCCATAGTGCCTGAGTTTATCCATCTCTAAATGGGGATAGTACCTAATGTGCCTACCATGAAGGATGGACATGAAGCTTAATAAATGTTTGTAAAGCACTTTGAATATGTCTTGAGTTGTCTGGTTATTTTCTCTGTTTCATCATGTATTGTGTATTGCTTCCAAATGATTAGTGAATCAGGAATTAAATAATTTCCCCTGTGAGAAATCTTGTACATTCTCTCAGAGAAAGGAGTACATGAAAATGTCATGTCTGCATCTTTTTTGTTTTCCTTCACTTGATCAGTCATTAGTAACTTAGCACTAGATTTTTATTTTTTCCCCTGTTATGGCTTCTGTATCAATTCTCATCTTCTTTTTTTTTTTTTCCCTCTCACAGTCATACCAGTCCAATTACATGGACCAAATGAAGCCAAACAAATATAGTGTCATTTATCCTACCCCAAATATGTTGCACAATAAATTCTATCCAACCCCAGAAGGACTAGCTAATGGAATCCAAATGGAGCCAGTTGACCTTACAGTGAATAAACGAAGCTCACCATGTTCAGCTGGAAGTTCTCCTTCTCCTCTGAAATTTCAGACTGTACATAGAAGAGCCTCACCTGGATTAACTTTGTCCTCTCCCAGCCCGCCTATGAAAAAATTCACCCCACCACCTCCCCCAGGAGTTCAGCCTTTTTCCATGCCATTAACAATCCCTCCAGTAATGGCTGCTCTTTCACGCCCTGGACTTAGGAGCCCTGGAATACTTCCAGTTATACAGCCACTTGTGGTCCAGCCTGTTCCTTTTATGTATGCTCCACATCTCCATCAACCTATAATGGTGTCCACTGTTCTTGCAGAAGAGTTGGAAAATCCAAGTAGCATGCCAGGTGGGTGCTGTTGTGCTACGTTTCTCTTTTATGCGGGACCAGTGCTCTTTTACGCAGCACAGTTGCCCTGGGCACCAACTTCCAGGGGCTTGCTGTACTGCTGTGCCATTCAATGGTTTGGGGTTGTTTTTATTTTGGGGAGGAGAGGAGGTGTTCCTCCACTCCATTCAGCTGGCTATAAGGGGAGGAGGAGTTTTGTTTTTTTAGTTTGCTTTGGTGTGGTTTGGTTTTTTTGTTTTGCTCTGTTGCTGTGGAAAAGGGGCATGACACATTTTCTTCCCTGGTCAGCAAAACAATTAGTGCCACTACTCCTTTTTTGCTAGTCAAATCTGGAAAAATAACTGTGTATCCCTGAGTTTTTTAGGGTAAGTCAGAATATTTTGAAGGGAAATGAAAAAGAGAGACAAATATTCTTTTGTTTTCTTCTAAAACATACAATACCTAGACTTTACTGTGTGAATATTTTCCCCTAGTTTTACTCAATCAAATTCTGCTCTATTGATACCCATATAAATCTATTGATATCAATAACTCACATAACTCTTTATAACTCTTTATATATTTGATTCTTTTATATATATATATATATATATATATATATATATATATATGATTTTTTTTCCTCTAGTGCCTGTAATTGAATCTTATGAGAAGCCCACATTAAAGAAAACGATCAAAGTAGAACCAGGAATCGAACCACCAAGAACCGAGTTCTATCCTGAACAAATGTCTCCTCCAATGATGACCTCCTTGTCTCCTCAGCAAGTAATGTTGCAAGAGTAAGTAATTAGTCCTAAAGTATCTATCTTCAGTTGAACAATGAAGCATACTGCCTGCTATACATTGGGTTCCATATACGGGGGCAACAAAAGTTCTTTGAGGGGAAAGCTACTGTGCTTTGAAGCATGTAGTAAAATATCATAAATAAGGGTTGCAGACTGTAAATGAATTGGAGTTTGTGCTTAGTTTTTTCCTCCTCTTCCCTTCAGCCTCAACTTTGTTTTCAGCAGTGTAATGGTTAGTATGCATGCTATGTACATGTGAACTGCATAGATCTTCTATAATTGTATAATGTGTTCCTAAAGTGATATAAGGCCCAGTCCTGCAAACCACTACAAATGGAGCTTCCAGTACAGTCAATAGTAGTTCTTCCTGTAATAGTCTCGCAGAATCAGGCCCATATTTAAACAGCTATTAAATTGTGGTAACCTGGAAAAATGTTACATTGGGGGTGGGGTGAATTTTTGTGACCTTTTCTTAGAGAGGCAGCAACATGTCCTGGTGGTAGCAGGCCTTTGATATTTCCAGGGAGAAACTCCTCAGGCTACAGAAATACCATTTTTGTCCCATGTAACTCCATTCAGATCTACCTCAGTTGTAGTGTTAAAAATCACCATTTCCTCAGGGAAATTCTGGCAGCCGCCACAGTCACTGAACATTCTAGAGAGCCTGGCCCATGCTTCTGCCAAAGCAGACGACACTATGCTGGGAATGCCTGGGAATGCCAGATCAGTTATAGCAGTAGTTGGGGAGAGCTGGGCTGGGCTTCCGCCAATAATCCCTCCATCCTCGACAGCCTGGCACATGGCCCCAAAGTCTCATCCCTACCAGAAGCATCATATGGGACAGGAGTCCCCTACCTCCCAGGGGTGCAGGGAGAGAAAGCCAAGCAATAAACCCCTGGATCTAGTAGCCTAGGGTGGAGCAGAGAGAATGAGCTGGGCTGGACTCCCCTGGATCACCCCCTGGACCCAGCATAGGGCACCAGCAGCCCTTCCTCCACTCTGGCATGTCAGCCTTCTCCTACTGCCATGTAGTGTTGTTAGTCCTGTAATGGTTGCAATCTGAGCTGTAGTGCTGAAGGCTCATGGTTCAGATCCTACTATTGATGCATGATAGGGAGGTCATTTGTACATAATAGTTTTTAACTTTGTCCTTTCAAAAAACCCTAGGACATCATATACAAAATATTGCACTAAACTAACATTATTTTAGTCACAAAATCAAGCACTTGAAAGGTAGAGTCAGATTTTGAGTTTCGCATGCAACCTTAATTTGGTCCGCTTCTGAACGAGCATTATTATATTTATATAATAACATGCTATTTTTCTACAGGACCCTTGCCTTTTCAGTGCATGGGATGTACATATAAGGGGACTGAATGAAGGTGGCACAAGCAACCATAAATCTGGCATTTTCTAACTCTTGAGTGCTTGAATTTGCTATCTAAATATTGAAAGGGGAGGGGGGTTGTATGTAAAATATATAAAAGCCATTGACGTCTTACAATGAGCATTGGTGGGTTGTACAATCTAGCTATCTTAACCCAAAGTCAATATCTGTTGTGTAGGAATTAAAGAAATATCCGAGTTCTCCCTTTAAATCAAAGTTCATGTATTGTTCTCAGACTATTGCCATACACAGACATGGATGAAACGTAATATGAAGCCTTAATTTTGTGTTTTCTTGTTTGTGTGAAATCAAAGTTTGACTCATGCTACCCTCATCACGTGGGCTGTGGGTGTGGGGACAAGGCCGTGCTTAAATAAACGGTCATAACATGATTTTTGGAAGACATTGTTAGCTGTTTGAGAAAAACACCCACATGCGCAAGGCTCAAATGAATTCAGATATGCTTGTGTAAGCAGAGACAAGACCTTATGGAATTACAGATGATCTTTTATTTCAGCAGTTATTTAATAATGTTGGCCCTTCTTCCGATACCATTGTCTCATTTCTTAAACCAGTGTCCCACTCTGGAAATCACTTGCAGAATTTTGTAGTATTGCAGGTTGGCTTCCCAATGGAAGAGAAATAAGAAAAAGAGAGTCTGCGTGTACTCTAAGTGTAACTTGCTTTATTTACACACCTATACCAGTCTGGAACAAAGGCCATCACAAACTGCATGCAGGCAACCTCCTCTTCCACCAATGTCAGCTTGCACACCAATGCCTACTTCTCAAGAAGCTGGTGTCTAAGGAATTGCCTCCAAATACAGAGAATAAAGCAGAGAATTTACTCTCTTCTGTCTGCCACAACATCTGTCAAAGGACTACTGCATAACAAAACTAACAATAATAGAACATTTCTTCTAGAACATGTAGGACTGTATAAAAGCATTATCTGGTGAGCCCATCATAATATTTTAACTACAATTAATATGATGTTGAACAACAAATCTTTCCATCGCTGGATATGCTTTTTTGAGTTACTCATGGCACCTTAGGCTCACAAAGAAGTCACCAAGTGACTCAGGACTCATAGCTGTGGTGAGCAACCTGCGGGCCGCATGTGGCCCATCAGGGTAATCTGCTGGCGGGCCGCGAGACAGTTTGTTTACGCTGACTGTCCTCAGGCACGGCCGCCCCCAGCTCCCAGTGGCTGCGGTTTGCTGTTCCTGGCCAATGTGAGCTGTGGAAAGTGGCATATTAAGTTTCACTTAAAAGCTAGAAAATATATAAGACTCTGTAATATGTATTCATTAATCAGTCGAAAAATGTGTCCAGTGAAGCTGTGTGATTTAAAAGGCCTATCTGTTTAAAAATATATATTTTGCTCTTTTCCTTCCTCTAACATTGGCATAGAAGGCAGGTTCGTGACTGTCCCAGTGATTTTATATATGCAGCTGATAATATCCTTAGAAAGGTGTGTTTATTCAATATACACATAATTGTGTGTGTGTGTGTGTGTGTATATATATATATATATATAAATATGTATATGTCTTACCTGAATAGTACCTGTGGGGTTAAAGGCAAGAAAATCATGTTTATGAAGGTGGAGTGCCAATTTCAGACATCCTGTGGGTGTGACATGCAGTCTAAACTCTACTTTTAGGAATTGACGTCAGTCGTAAAGGGAGGCCGCACCCTTCTGCCAGCACCAAACAGGAAATTCTTAATTACTCTCTAAAGGAGTGGCTGGAACAATAAAAACTCTGAGTTCTGCTTTAAGACTAAAGATATGATGTCTTTAATAATATGGAAAAGCTGTTTTAAATTAAAAACAAATTAGCTGTCTTCTAAGGAAGAATAAAAAATGTAAACAAAAGCAATGAAAGTTAACTGGAAACTCAGTGAGAGAGTTTGGAAATCCTGAGCATACTTGCCTGAGAAACAAGAGTCTGACTTTCATTTCTTTATAAGTAAAAATAAATTAAAATCCAAGCATGCTGAAAAGAATATCTTTGGTTTTGCTCATGCCACAAAGTGAATAAACTCAAAAGAGGAAAGAATCAAAATATTATTGCTAAAAATCTATGAAATTTGCTAAGTCGTCTTAAATTCTTTTACGTACATGTAATGTAGTTCACACTGCCAAGAGACAGAGTGGTAGTGAATAAAGGGGCTTTATTGTGGATCACTGAATGAGGTTTACTTTGTCAAATACTTTTCATCAGTCATAACCTATATCTTCACTTTCATAGGAATCACCCTTCAGTTATAGTTCAGCCAGGAAAGAGACCTTTACCTGTGGAATCTCCAGACACACAAAGGAAACGCAGAATACACAGATGTGATTATGAAGGTTGCAATAAGGTCTATACTAAAAGCTCCCACCTAAAAGCTCACAGAAGAACGCATACAGGTATGAGTCTTGGTACACTTTCCTTTCATCCATATTGGTCTGGATCAGTCCAGGCCAGACTTCTGGTTTCTGCAGAAGACCAGCTCTAGATATCTAACAGGTGCTTCAGGCTTTTTCAAACTAAAGGAAATATATGGGCTAACATAAATTTATCTGAGTTCTGTTTAAAGTACAGACCACCAAGACAACATTTTAAAGAAAGAAGGGGTAAATCAATCTAACCGTATCTCCTTCTGCCAGCTCACTGAGTCCTAGTCACATGTCCCAGGAAGTCCCATTGTGTAGTGGTAAAATCTTCCCTTTAGTCCGGGTTGGCTATGGAAACCCAAGATTAAAATTCAGTGGTAATGGTAGGTTACATGTCAGGTATAAATGGTGAAGTCAGGCAGGCTAGACAGGTTTGACATTCATTTGGGTTTGCAAAATGAGCGACAGGGAATGGATCACTTGATGATTATCTGTTCATTCCCTCTGGGGCACCTGGCATTGGCCACTGTCGGAAGACAGGATACTGGGCTAGATGGACCTTTGGTCTGACCCGGCATGGCCGTTCTTATGTTAAAATGTGTGTAACGTGGGGTATGTCTACAATTGGAGCTAGGGGTGTGAAAGCTCAAGGAGAAATATTCACACTAGCTCTGATTGAACTAGCACACTGCAAACAGAGTGTAGCCACAATGACATGAGCAGTGTAGCCACCCCGCGTGCCTGCCTGTGGTCTCAGTTGGGTACGTACTCTAGGCATCCCCTCCTGCCTGCTGTGCTGCTCCGGCAACAATCTGTTCTTAGCACTCTAGGTCAGTCAGAGCTAGTGTATATCTCCTTGAGCTGGGAATAACCCCCCTCACTCCAAGCTTAAATATGCCCTTACAGGCAATGGAGTAGAAGGGGGATGGAGCAGGAAAAGCAGCTAGCAGGAGGTTGTAAGTCAAAGTAAGCTCCTCCTAGTATCTCTTATATGCTCATGTCAGTTGCTTTTTTCTTTTCTTTCTGCTATACCCACTTCTGCCCACATGGCATGCAAGGTACTCATTTGCACACCCACCAAATGCCAATCACTGCACTACCTCACAACTTACATCACTGCTACATTTGGCTTTGAGAATTCCATAGGAGTAGCACTCATTTACACAGGCCTGAACTGGGTGCCAAATGTAAAGTGTCTGTTAAGGTTAAGGCATTGCATCCAGCCACTCTTAAATACTGGTCAGGTTCCTTCTGAATGCTCTTTTCTAAGAGCTCCTTTCAAATAAAGATGTCCCCATACCTATTCTCAATCATCATGTTCCAGGCATGCCTTGACACATTGTTTGGACATACACTGGAAGCTTGTGACAGTAAGACCTGTTCAGAGAAGATACAAGGCCTGATTCCTAGTTACACTATGGCCATTTACTCCCCAGCAATGTAATGGAGCTTAGTGGAAATGAGAATCAGGCTCATAGAAAGGAAATTAGTTAAGCGGATCCACCTTTAACTATACCTCTTATGACAACATCATTATTTACATTACAGTAACTCATAGCGACTGCAACCAAATTGGGACCCTGTAGTGTTAGATTCTGTACAAACATGTAGGGGTAAGAAAGGAAGGGATGTGTTGACAGAGCAATACAAACAAGATGTAACACACAACCCTTCTTGACCTAGTCACTTCATGCACATTTAGAAATTCATAAGCAAACCAAGAACTTCACAAACTATGCTAGCTAGATAGGTCAGTTTGGGTGAGTAGAAGAGAATTAGCTGGGAGAGAGAAGATGAATCATATGGTATAAAGCAGTTCACATGTTTGTGTGTTAACATTCAGAAACACCCTGGAGAAGCCCCACCCTTTTTTCCCCACTTTAAATCCCTCATTTTCTGTTCCCTTTCCCAGGTGAAAAGCCATACAAGTGCACCTGGGAAGGATGCACGTGGAAGTTTGCTCGTTCTGATGAACTAACACGACATTTCCGTAAACATACCGGAATCAAACCTTTCCAGTGCCCGGACTGTGACCGTAGTTTCTCACGCTCGGACCATCTTGCTCTCCACAGGAAACGCCATATGCTAGTCTGAATGTCTCTTGTCCCTCAACTCCCATCACACTTTTTTTTACATGTGCATTTTAATTTGAATTCAGCTGGTCTGAATCTCTGATCTTACACAATTAAAAGCTTCCATATGGTCAGTAATAGATGTTATCTAACCCTGCTATGTCCTTGCCACGGGTCAGACCTAAAGAATGTGAACATTTTTTTTTTCCGAGGGATGCTAAGCAAACCCTTCCTGCAGACAGTATATGTTATGTATTCCTTTGTGAATAAGGGAATTTGTAAACTAGCAACTTTGTTGGTTTTGCCATATAATATAGCCAGCATATATTGATCAACTAGTAAATGTTATTGAATATCCAGTCCTTGCCAGAGACTTTATTTATGAGCCCTGCAAAGGATACACTCTCCTTTTATGCTCAACAGTGCAATGAATGGACTTTCCAACATTGCTGGTTACAGCAGCGTGTTTAAAGCAACACTTTTAGAAAGACACTTCTCACTGTAGAAATCCCCTCTGCCAAGACAGTGAATGACACTGTAATAGCTAACCTAAGCAAAGTACTCTCTTTACATCATGGAAAAATTAAGTGATAACTGATTTGGGCTAAATTAATAATATTATTTGAAGAATCATCAGCAGAAATTGATGTGTACACATGATTGTGCCTCTAAACCAACGTCACCTATCTTTTGTATTATACTGCAGTACGTGAGCATGTGTTTATTGCATGATGCTTTGGTAGATTCCTTAAGTGTGTGATTCCTGTGTGACACTATCTCTGTTTTGTGTGCAGCCATATAGATGGAACACACACGGTACTCCTATGACATGACATGAAATGACATTCATAGAGACCTACCATACCTCATTTCAGGGGTAAAGATGTATCCCTTGATAATCACTCCCCTGTGTTTCCTGTTCTTTTAAAAACTTCATCGTACCTCAAAAGCAGCAATTGTCATATCAGAATGCTCCAAACTGTACCATTGGTGGAAGTGAGTGCCAATTTGATACACTACAGTATTTAAATTTTAGTTCACAAGATTTTTTTGATGGCAAAAAGCTGAATGGCATCCAATAGGAAGCACTTCCTGTGAGAAATTGAGTTGTGTAAATGTCTCAAATGACGAGAGTAGGCTTGATAAGCCATTTAATGACTCTGTGATTTGATTTGTGGCTCTGTTGGTTTCTTGATGCTAGGTGGACCAAGAGATCCCATGGATGTGCTTGTTGTATTAACAAATTGCGTCAGAAACGTTCAACTCCCAGTTTCAGTTAACAAAATAAAATAAATAACCTAAAGTTTGGTGCTAAATATGTTCCAGAACTTTGGAGATGTTAACTGCATTAAAAGGGAGGTTCCTGCATTTATTAGTTGGCTGCTTTTGTGGCACCGCATGGAAACAAGATGTATTTGTCTAGACTGTTATGCACCACAACGTTTTTTGTTCAGTTCATTATGCAAATCAGGCGTAGTTCCTGCAATATGAGAATGTCAGTCAAATTTTCACTTTGTGGAAAAACCCACTGGAAAAGAAAATATCTGCATGCTGCCCTCTATGCGAAAGAATTTGAGACCCGGTGGCGCAGGAAGTGTTCATGACCCTAAACACTGTGGACACCTGGAAAATCCTGCAGATCCAAGAGTTGTGCCAGTTTACTCTCTTGGCAGTGTGGTTCACATTTACCTGACATCGACAGCTGCTCCCCTCTGTCAGCAAAACTGGCAGGAAGGTGCGCGTCTCCAATAGTATAAATATAGGCCAATGTATAGATGTTTGGGAGGGTAAAGAATAAAATGATACCTTACAGCTATCTGAACTTTAATGCTGAGTGTCAGAGTAATTAGGGATATTTTCACTTATTGTACAGAAAAGTGCAAAGGGTGCTTCTGACGTAAAATATGAAATATTTCCCCTGCTCTAAAATTAACATATACTAAAGTATGGAACTGGACATCCATTTATCTAAGGCAGCAGTTCTCAACCAGGGGCCTGGGGCCCCCTGGGGGGCCGTGAGCAGGTTTCAGGGGTTCCACCAAGCAGGGCATTAGACTCACTGGGGCCCAAGTCAGAAAGCTGAAGCCCCACCACATGGGGCTGAAGGCAGAGGCCTTGAGCCCCACCACCCAGGGCTGAAGCCAAAGGTCCCAGGCAATTGCCCTGCTTGCTACCCCCTAATGCAGGCCCTGGCTTTTATATGCAGAAAACTAGTTGTTGTGCCACAGGTGGGCTGTGGAGTTTTTATAGCATGTTGGTGGGGCCTCAGAAAGAAAGAAGTTGAGAGCCTCTGATCTAAGGAATCTCTTACCCTTTTGCAGTGCTGTGGTGTTACACAGTCAAAACATACAGTGAGGAATGAGAATTTTCATACCATATCTCCCAGCACTTGGAAGTTTTGTGTGAATGCTGGTGTAAGGGATCTGAGCCACATTCTGCTCTCCTGCACCACTGTAAGTCTGGAGTAACTTTCCTGGAATCTATGGAATCCTGGAATTGAAGCTATGCCAGATTTATAGTTGTGTAACTGGATAGAAATGTAATTACCAGGTAAATTCTCTCAGCCTTCTGTTGATACGTGGCTCTGTCACGTACGAAAAAACTTCCTGGAAAGAGAACTAGCGTAGACTAGACCAATTTTTTTTTCCAAGTGCCTGTAACATCACAGAATCAAAATTGATATCAAAATTAAGCTGTAGTTATTTACAGCTAGCTGTTCCATACCTGAAGAACTCTATTGACTTTAATAGGGGCTCCACACAATGAGCTGCCACAGGCTCAATTCCTGAATTTGAACTTTTAAACATATCACAGGAGGATAGGTGTTTGGCATGCTGTGGATGAAAACAACTCAATTAAAACCTGGAAACAAGCAGATAGGATCCTATAAAGAAAGGCAGGTGTCAGACATTCTAATTCCATTTCTATTTTTAACTAATTTATTCACATCAAATTTGGTATTTTTTGTGACATTAAATTTCCTGTGCTGCTAATTTTTTTTTTTTTTTTTTTGGTCTTCCATAAAACAGTTTTAAGTGTTTGCATCTTTTGCTCACTATAATCTGGGGCTGCGTGGTCTTCTGGCATAACTCCACTGAAGTTAATGAAATTACTCCAGCAGAGCATTAAATCCCTGACATGTAGGCTATTAAATCAGCTGTTAACCTGTTTGCCTCTGTTAAAGATATTTATAATGAGTTGTAGGGAGAAATACTGTTAAGATGCAATATAATTATAAAATGCCCTTGGCCATATGCTTTATGATATAGGACATTGACAGCAGGTTTAAATTTAAACATTAAATAGAATCTTAATTACTGGTAACTAAATAAGATAGTTTCATGTAAATATTTTGTTATAGGATTTTTCACTTTATATATGTGGCGTCATATCTTCTGGGAAGTCAGAAAAGTGATTACAAAGTAAATTTTATCTTTTTAGTTTAAAATGTGAATCTGCATTTTAAATGGGGCATTAACTCTAACTTTAGTTTGGGGAGTGCATCCAAAAAAAAATATATAACTAAGGAAATACTAAACAAGTATCAGCTCCAGTCTAGAGAGCTCACTCCTCCTCTTGTTGACCTGAATGGAAGCAGGACTGGGTCTAAAGACACACACACAACTCTGCTGCAGGATTTGCTTTGTGTATTTAAAAGAAAAACCTGTGCACTAGCAGTATTGCACTGTACAGTATGTAACTTGGAATACCATTATACTGATATTGTACCTGTATGTACCATTCAACATTAAAATGGATTACATATTTCCGAGACAATCCTTCGGAGTTAAACAGGTATGACAGTAATATGGTTTTATTTAAATATACACTGTAGTTCTGTAGTGATCTAACGCCACAAGCTTGTCTGAATATGTTGTCTGTGTTTTGTCTCTGTCAAGGTTAGCAAACTGTAAATGAGTGCAAATCGTTTCTTAAACAAAACAAAAAACATTTTACATGTATTAAGAGGGTTACAAAAATGTTCATTGTCTTACAGATATTAGCACTTTTCTGCTATTTATGTACTTTAAATGTTAGAGGGTCAAAATAATCTTTCTGCTTAGCATTTCTTAAAACATTACCTGCAAATGTAGCAGGGATATTACATTTACTTTAATACTTGTATAAACTATACAGAAATTTTTTTAATAAAATGTAATATATTTTATAAGCTAATAAGACTGGGTAATTAAAGGTTTCTAGCATGCATTACTATAACTTGCAAATACTGAAACATTTTGGTAATCTTTCTTACTAAAGATGTGAATGTTTAATGTACTTTCACTGTTTCTACTTTGGTAGTCCAATGGGAATTCAGTAATGACATTTTGTCATGTCAAACTGTGAACATAAATTTGTACTGTACAGTCCTCATACTATATACAGTATACAATATGTATTATACTTGTTAATAAAACCATCAGAATATTAAATGTGATCATGTAGTTATATACCATACAACAGAGTATACTTACATATGAACCAGGAAGTTCAGAAAAGAATCTTTCAAAATATGTAAAATCAGCACTTGTTAAAATGCAAAACAAAAAAATCCAGAAGCTCAATTTCCCATTTCTGAAGGGTTTTTTAGGATTCAGAAGTCAGATTGCTGGAATATCTAAAGCACCACACATATTTTAATGCAAAATACTTTTATATCTATTAAAGAGTATGCTGATCTATGAATTATATAGAGAGTCAAGGTAGATTCACTACAGTCCATGCACCACATTTCTTATGGATACATCTGAATAAAGAGGGTAAAGCAAAACAAAAAAACGTAGTGCAAACAGTTCACTGGATTTTGATTCTATCTACTCTTACCTCTTTATTATTTGCTGTTCCCTAGCAACCAAACTTTTTTATACTAACATTTTCAAAAAGTTAATTTCAATTTCACAGTCAAGATTAGTTGAATGAATGAATAAATAATGTTTGAGGCAGATGTTTATTATAAGGTATAGGTCATCCAATCACGGAACAGAAACAAGACTATATGACATTGGGATGTATGAATTCCAGTTACTGAATCACTGACTCAATAATTGCTCTGAACTGTTTGTGAGAAATCCAAGCTCAGATAAATTGGTAAAAACAATTAACCCCAAATTCTAGTTTCACAACCAAGTCTTGATGAAAGATTTTGCACAGCTCATAAAGCAGATATCCCTTTCTCATATGGCATAGTTATAACATTCAAGCCAACTCTGTCTTTACAACCGCCCCTGGTTTTTTGTGTGGCCCCAATGCCAAATGGCAAAAGCAACCAGCTTTTCCTCCCTGAGTTCCTTTCCCATTCTAATCCTGCTCTCATTTCATGGTCTGGCCTATATTTGTTTTCTTCCCCAAAAATTTTGCTGTGGACTCAACTGGTGGCAATGTGTGCTCTTGAAGAGTAGGATCCCTACCCTTTGCTTGAAGTTCTGAGTGGCTATGGTTTGCAACATAATGACAAATGGAGCAGCAGAGGTGGCAACAGATTTCTTACAATACTGTATATTTTATTTGTATTATAGTAGCACCTAGAAGCCCCAGGCTCATTGTGCTAGACATTGTATAAACACATCATAAAAATATAGTCTCTGTCCCAAGGAGCCTACAATCAGCAGATCTATATGCAGGAGTATAATAAAGCAACTAGTAATTGCATTGAAAGGTAAATTGATATCAGAGTTTAGGGAGGGAAAGGAGATAAACCCATCCCCTAATATACTTTGCAATACACTCCCTTCCAAATCCTTCAGCTATCCTCAAAGCAATGATGCTGACCCTAATTAAACCAGCAGCTTTTCTCCAACTGCTACTGCTCAGCCATGGAGAGGGGGAAAGCAGCCAATAACAGTATAGCTTCTGAAGGAGTCTTTCTGCCGGAGAACAGCATGGTGGAGCTGAGGAGCAACACAAGTGCTGTGAATTTTGTGGGGCTAGAGGCAGAGCTCCCCCACAGATCAATGGAGTCCATGGTTTTGAAAGCCCACACCTGTTTCCCTTGAAAACCGCCAACCTTTTTTTCTCTCTGAGGGCAGCCTGCAAAGTACAGACTACTTCACTGAGGCCTTGTCTGTACTACAGTGTTTTGTCAACGCAACTTATGCCGACACACAGCCGCCACCACTTTAATTAAACCACTGTTGCACGTCCACGCTATGCTCTTTGTGTTGGCAGAGCACAGCCACAATAGCAGCTCTTGCAGTGACACAGAGAGCAGCGTGGGTAGTTATCCCACTGTGCAACTGGCTACAGGGTGCTTTGGGAAGGGTTTGCAATGCCTCATGGGGCAGGTACAGCATCACATGATGCAGGTTTCTCAATCCCATCGTTCCATGGGCATCCTACTAGAGTGCCAGCTGCTTTTCAACTGAAGTGGAGGAGAGAGAAGTGTGTGTTGGGGGAGAGTGAGTATGTCAGGCATGGCATCTTTTTAAGTTCACACAGAAGCTGGATGCAACCAGTCCTGAGGAAGGGGGAGGAGGGTGCCCCCCCCACCCACACACACATCAGCCCCTGCCTCCCTCCCTGGCTTTGCACAGCGGAGCATGAGTCTCTTATGCAGCCCACAATGATAAATACATTGAGAACTACTGCTTTATGTAGACTTACTGTATAATCTGCAGATCTGGATTGTCAATAATTGCTGTGCACAGCAGTCAGCACAGAAGCATATGGACCAGTGGTGGGCAACCTGCAGCCCATGCGCCACACACGGCCCTTCAGGGTAATCTGCTGACGGGCTGCCAGACAGTTTGTTTACATTTGCATGGCCGCCCACGGCTCCCAGTGGCTGCGGTTCACCGTTCCCGTCCAATAGAAGCTGCGGGAAGCGGCAGCCAGCATGTCCCTGTGGCCTACGCTGCTTCCCACAGCTCCCATTATCTGGGAACGGCGAACTGTGGCCACTGGGAGCTGTGGGCGGCTATGCAAATGTAAACAAATTGTCTGGCAGCCCGCCAGTGGATTACCCTGACGGCCCATGTGTAGCCCGCGGGCCGCAGGTTGCCCACCACTGATATAGACCCTGTAGAAGCTTTCTGCTCAACTATAAAGCATCAGCATTACAGAAACTGAGGAAACAAAGTCATTCTTAAGTGATCACTCTCCTTACAGTGTATATGATAACACCCATTGTTTCATGTTCTCTGTGTATATAAATCTCCCCACTGTATTTTCCACTGAATGCATCCGATGAAGTGAGCTGTAGCTCACGAAAGCTTATGCTCAAATAAATTTGTTAGTCTCTAAGGTGCCACAAGTACTCCTTTTCTTTTTGCAAATACAGACTAACACGGCTGCTACTCTGAAAAAAGTCATTCAGATTTCAGTGCTACACTATTTACCAAAGCCCTTTAATTCTGAAGAATGCAATTGTGCTACACAGAAGGATTATATAAGGCCACAAGGAGGGTGGAATAAGCATTTGACCATTAAATCCAGAGATTTAAGTAATTTTAAGAAGTGGGTGTGGATTTTACTGTAGCCTCAGGTGGCTGTGACCTACATGTTGCTCAGTTATGCATGTCATGTGTCCATTTACTGTGCTTTACAGAAAGAAATACATAGTTACCACAGCAAGAGGCTGCTTCAGAGCATCTTTCTTAGAGACAAAGGACTAGGAAATGTTTCCTGCTTGTGGCCTGATTAACCCTGTTTGTTATGTTCCAGCTGATGCACACTCAACACAGGATGTTCTGGGCAAGGTAGGGAAATGGTGGCTCTAAGCCCTCTTTGCACTGATCCTGGAGATGGTCTGAGGTTGGTCTTTCTTACGCCCGGCTACCTGTGGCCCCAAATGGACAATCCAGCAACATTGCAACCTGATCCCATAGAGTGGGGGCAAGGGGAGTGGTGTCAGATTTGCTGTGTTGTCCCAATCTCACTTTGGGATGCCCCTACACTGGGGGTATCAGGAGGTAGCTGGTTAAACTTGGTTTCTAGCAGTTTTGTGTCACTGGAGCAGTGTGAAGAAGCCAGAGCGAGGACCAGAAACTCATACAAAGGCTTTCATGCACGGCACTCTGAAAACAGAAACAGACTGTTTCTTGTTCTGAATCAATATTAACAGAGGCAATTAATGATTGACATCATACACAAGTTACTTACTTTTTAAAATCCTTTATAAAATACTTTCAACTATCTCCTGGTTGGGAAAACTAAAAAACGTGAATTTAAAACCAGTAACTAGACCTGATTTTAACAAACACCGTGGGGCCTGAATCTTGCCCTGAAAGCAAGGCCCACTGAGAGTTTAAGTCAGTAAAAATCTAAGTTATTGTAACAAATCTGTGGCAAGCTAGGACTTAGCCATCATCACTCTGCTGTAGAACAGGGCCATTTGCTGTAGCAGAAGGGAGAGAACTCAGATGCACAGGTACCTATTGTTTGAGCTAAAGGAGAATCTCCTTTAGCTGTTATAAGTATTGGGCTTAAGATACACAGCTGAGCCATGATCTGCCTACACAACCAGTGGTTCTCAACCTATGGCCTGCGGGCCACTTGCAGCCCAATCAGCACCCAGATGTGGCCCATGTCACATCCTCAGGGTCATACAGGTAGTATATATATTGTGTGGATGTGGCCCACATAACACATAGAGAGCTGCACATATGGCCCATAATGGTAAATAGGTTGAGAACCGCTGCTAGACAGTTCATTTCAGTATCAGCTTCAAGCTACAGACTAGATGCTCACATTTCTGAGTTAATTATTTTTTGGGCACACTCGTATTTCATTTAGTGGGGATGACAAAAGTGAGTCTTCTAGGAAACATTTTGGCATTCACTGAGCTAATAAAACAGATTTTTTTTTTTATGCCAAGCTTAACAATCATGCCAAGTTGCTAGTCATCCAAGCTAAAAGCTGAGGAAAAAAATGAAAAAATTTTCTAGTCAAGCCCGACAGTGTAAACTGTGACATCCCCCAAGCAGGTCTGAGGCACCTTGTTGCAGTTGAAACAAGAGATAGGACAAAAACAGAGCACACTAATAAAAAGAAAAGGAGTACTTGTGGCACCTTAGAGACTAACAAATTTATTTGAGCATAAGCTTTCGTGAGCTACAGCTCACTTCATTGGATGCATCCGATGAAGTGAGCTGTAGCTCACGGAAGCTTATGCTCAGATAAATTGGTTAGTCTCTAAGGTGCCACAAGTACTCCTTTTCTTTTTGCGAATACAGACTAACACAGCTGCTACTCTGAAACAGAGCACACTAGTGTCACTTCATATGAAAAATATTGACATTTTATCTTCTTGGCCATACAGATGTGGATGAAGAAGCAGAATTCCAAGTGTTAATGCTTCAGGTCTCAACAATGCTGCAGGCAGCTAGCTGGTAGTGCCAGACAGATAAAATGTGGGAATGTAGCTGGCACTCAGGCTCTGGGCCTGTTTAGAAAATTGCACATGTTTTACAGAGTATTTATGATGGTGAGGCACATG